ACATCTAGTCTGGTTGGGAAAGCTTATACGGCGGCAGGTCAGGCTGGCGCGTGCTTGCACACCATGGCGGGGTTACAAGCGTACCAGGCTGACCTGCTCAAGGACCTAGATGACAGGGAGGAGGGGGAATCCGACGTGGTAGCTGAACTGTGTCGGGCCACAGATTTGTCCCTCCGAGCCGCCAAAGAAACGGCCAGAGCTATAGGCCGTTCAATGGCAGCAATGGTGGCCACGGAGCGGCATCTGTGGATGAATCTGTCTGATATGCAAGATAAGGACAGATTCTTCCTCCTAGATGCCCCGCTTTCGCCCTCTGGCCTTTTCGGCGACGCAGTCACCACTGTCGTCGAGAGGTTTCAGGAGGCGAAAAAGCAAGCGGCGGCATTTCAACGATTCCTCCCTCGTCGCCCATGGGGCTGCTGAGCGTCAACAGGGCCAACATCGTCAGGCCCCTGAGGGCAGCCCCACCTGGGGAGGAAAGGATAACACCTCATTATACGGTGCCCGATCCTCCTCAGTGCCCTCACGGAGAGTCACTGATACCCCTGCCACCCTCGGTGCTTCAGGGCTCAGTGAGCTCCAGCGAGCGAAATTCCCAGCAGCTGCCCGGCGACGGTACAGCACGGGAGAGCTCGCCCCCTTGAGTGAGGGTGCTACAGCAGTCAGGTCGGTCGTTCCCTGCCGGTCATCCACTTCAGGGCACCGAACTGGCTCCTCTAATAACACCAGAGGCCAGCCTCGGGAGGCTGGTTCCCTTAGTAGATTTTCTGGTAGCGTGGAAACTTCTAACAAATATCTCAAAATGGGTCCTGCAGATTGTAGAGAAAGGTTACAGAATTCAGTTCGGTTCTCGTCCACCTCATTTCAACGGGGTGTGGTAGAAAAATTAATCTTCATTGACTGTTGCATGAACCTATGTGCTAATTGTCACAGTCTTCAGCCGGTGTGCCCAGGAGGGCCACCAGATGACTGTGTTCTGGGAGCACATGGCTTGTGTTGTGTTTGTCTGTTGCCATGTGCTCTCTCCTGTCTATCGTCTGGCCCCTCCCATCTTGTTACCTCGTTATTGTTTTAGTTGCTCCACCTGTGTCTCCCTCGTTAGCTTCCTCGTTTGGTTCCTATTTATTCTCCTTGTGTCTGCCGTCCTGTGCTGATCCGTCATTTCTCATTGTGTGTGTTTCGTGTCTGCATGTGTGCCGCTTTAGGCCTGCCTGTCTGTTTTTCCCCCTCGGGGTGGTTTGAGTTTGTTTTTGTTTAGTTTTTTACTAAAATAAGAGTACCATTTCTCCAGCGATTGAGTCCTCGCTTCATCTCCCCGCACGCACTGTGACACTAATGGAACCTAATGTAGTGCATGTGTTTTCTTGAAACTGCTGTGTGTAATTAATGGGAGATGGGTTTGGGAATTTAGCATAAGATATATGGGTAATAAAGGGCCCACAGAGCCATATGGGGATTAGGGGAGGATGACCGGGGGGGGGGGGGGCCACCCGGGCCCTAGGGGTCATCCAGGCCCTAAACGGATGTTTAGAAGTATGATATAGTATGGTGGTTTTTAACTTTCTGTCCATGTTTGGGAAAATGCAGCTGTTAAGAGTTTGTAACCTTGACTTGGAAAAGGGGATATAAAGCAGAGGCTTGCCCTCCCTTCCTGGTCACACTCTGCAGCGACTTGTATCCTGTATGGTGCTTGACCTTCTCTGCAAAGAATAAAACCGTTTAAAAGACACTGAGAGTGAATTTGTCTCTTATGCCGATGAGAGTTATTTAATTTTGCCCCAACAGGGGTCATCCCCACACTAGTGGGCCCCGAGCAGGCTCTGGTAATGGAACAAGAAGTAGATACTCTCTTGAGGAAGGGGGCCATAGAACGTGTTACTTCATCGTTCCGAAGAAGGATGGTGGGTTGCATCCGATCTTAGATCTCTGTCTTCTGAACCGCGCTATCAAATGGCTTCGGTTCAAGATGCTCACTATCAAGCAGATAGTATCTCAGATCCAGTCCGAGGACTGTGGCCAGAGAGGCTGCAGTGCCCCCGAAGGTGGCTGACGAAGCTGCAGCGCCCCCGAAGGTGGCTGACGAACCTGCAGCGCCCCCAGAGGTGGCTGATGAAGCTGTAGCGCTCCCGGTGGTGTCCGAAGAGGTTGCAGCGCCCCCAGAGGCGGCTGAAGAAGCTGCAGCGCTCCCGGTGGTGGCCGAAGGGGTTGCAGCGCCCCCAGAGGTGGTAGACGTAGCTGCAGTGCCACACTCTCGGAAACGGAGGAGGGGAAGGAGGAAGAAGGCTTCTTCCGGTTCCTGGTTCAAGGCCCGATGTTAGGGGCTCTTTGTCGTCGCGTAACGCTAGTGACGGATGCTTCTCTCATGGGCTGGGGAGCGGTCATGAGTGGCCGCTCTGCCCAGGGTCTGTGGGAAGGCCATCATCTCTTTTGGCACATGAACTGCCTGGAAATGCTGGCCGTGTTTCGAGCTCTGACACCCTTTCTTCCAGACCTAAGGGGGCATCATGTGCTTGTCCGCACAGACAACATATTGGTGGTCTCCTACATCAATCGGCAGGGGGTCTGCGTTCACGCCACTTGTACAAGCTGGCGCGCCAGATCCTTCTTTTGGGACAGGGGCAGCGCCCCCGAAGGTGGCTGACGAAGCTGCAGCGCCCCCAGAGGCACCTGATGAAACTACAGCGCTCCCGGAGGTGGCCTAAGAGGCTGCAGCACCCCTGAAGGTGGCTGACGAAGCTGCAGCGCCCCCAGAGGCAGCTGATGAAGCTGTAGCGCTCCCGGTGGTGGCCGAAGAGGTTGCCTAAGGGGGCATCATGTGCTTGTCCGCACAGACAACATATTGGTGGTCTCCTACATCAATCGGCAGGGGGTCTGCGTTCACGCCACTTGTACAAGCTGGCGCGCCAGATCCTTCTGTGGGCTCAGGGGAAGCTCCTCTAAGAGCAGTTTATATCCCTGGGTATCGAAATCAGGGGGCAGATATCCTGTTGAGACAGGGGCTGAGGCCCGGGGGATGGAGGCTCCACCCAGAGGTGGTGGAGTTCATTTGGAGGGAATTTGGCCAGGCGGAAGTGGATCTATTTGCGTCACAGGAAACGACACACTGTCCACTCTGGTTCTCCCTCATGCATCCAGCTCCACTGGGGCTGGATGCCATGGTGCAGACTTGGCCGAGGCTTCGTCTGTACGCTTTTCCCCCGATCGCTCTGCTCCCGGGAGTTCTGGAGAGGGAGGGGGCATCATGTGCTTGTCCGCACAGACAACATATTGGTGGTCTCCTACATCAATCGGCAGGGGGTCTGCGTTCACGCCACTTGTACAAGCTGGCGCGCCAGATCCTTCTGTGGGCTCAGGGGAAGCTCCTCTAAGAGCAGTTTATATCCCTGGGTATCGAAATCAGGGGGCAGATATCCTGTTGAGACAGGGGCTGAGGCCCGGGGGATGGAGGCTCCACCCAGAGGTGGTGGAGTTCATTTGGAGGGAATTTGGCCAGGCGGAAGTGGATCTATTTGCGTCACAGGAAACGACACACTGTCCACTCTGGTTCTCCCTCATGCATCCAGCTCCACTGGGGCTGGATGCCATGGTGCAGACTTGGCCGAGGCTTCGTCTGTACGCTTTTCCCCCGATCGCTCTGCTCCCGGGAGTTCTGGAGAGGG